ATATTAGCAAAAAAGAAATAGAGTGAGTTGTGATTGTATGTGGACAGTGAAATCAATATTTCTTTAATATATTTAATCTTTAATTACCATTACAATACAATAAATCCAAAGAATTTCATTGTGAATATTGTGATATGTTTCTGTATTGTTCCACTTAATTTCGAAAGTAATGTAGTTATTACAGAGTGACTTCATATTCAGTGTTCTTTAACTTTTTCACCTTCAAAAGCATTATAATATTTTTATAGTTGTATAAGTTAAGTATTACAACATTGTAATTTCATTATTTTATCCTGTAATTCTTTTATCATACATCCATGTATGTGACAGTAACTTTACAAATAAATGCATTATTTTGCATATGAACATTAAATAGGTACCTATGTGCATATGTGTAATTATATTATCTTCTTTCTTCTGCATCACTACTCTCTTTCCATCTAGAGTTATTTCATTAAATTTAGATACATTGTTAGTAACTTTAAAATAAAGTGATGTCTTGCATTATCTACCTCTGAATACCCATATACCTATTCATTTGGGCCACATTATGAGAATTATCAAGTTTTTAATGGAGTGAAGGCTATTTTTTATGTGAAAAATTTCTTGCCATGTATAATCTCATTATTATGCAATTATCATATTGGCATCTCGAAGCACAATCTGTATTATTATTCAGTCGTAGGCCTACTGTCATTTGCCATTATATCAAATTTCCTAGCGAACATTTCACTTACTCACTAAGGAATACTAAGTATGCTACAACATGTCGCACTTGGTTACCGTGTACCATGGACCATTTACTGGCTGTAACAGGCGAAGCTCCGACACTGCAATGCAGACGTGGACAACCATGGAGACTGTAACGCTGACACAGGTCAATTCCAAAACCCTGTGCCCCTACAAGCATACATTCATGAGAATAATGACACGAAGAGGAGATAGTAGTAGAACTAAATGAATTCGTTCATGTTATTAAAAGTCTAATTATAGCCTACTTCTCTGCAAATACTTATTAATTCCATCACCAAATTAATTTCTTCTGTGTTAATTTTTACAAGGGAATATTAGCAGTTTATCTAGAAATATACTCAAAATAAATAAATTAATTAAAGAACAAATGCTTAAAAAGACATTTTTGACAGTATTGAAAATTATATTTTTAATAAAATTGGTCCCTCTAATGATGCTCATAACAAAGTAGTAAACCCAATCTTTTCTTATATTTTGAAAGAAAACCTCAATTTTTCCATATTTATGGTGACTTTCAACTTCTCTAATTCCATTCTCTTATACTAGTAAATTAAATAATTTTGTTGCAGTGATAAATAAAATTTGAAATTCAAAATAAGAATTAATAGCAGTGTATGATTAAGGATACAGAAGTTTTGCACTTCCAAGACTGCTTCCTTAAAAGTGTTAAAGTAAACTGTCTGAATTTTAATAATAATTTTTGAAATAATTTTTCAAGTAACATTTATTATTATTGAAAGAAACGGCTCAATTGAAACACAGAAGAATGATTATTTGGAGATGAGATTACTGTGTGCTTTGTAGTTTGTATAAAGCTAATGTGTTTACTTGATTTAGTAAACTATACAAGCATTACGCTCTTGAGAACATCAAGTGGCAAAAGAAAAGTCAACTAGGCTACTTCAAACTATAACATGCTCCTAGTTCTATGCTTTCCAGAGTCGAAGCTTTGCATGTTATCTATTTAGGTTCGTTTAAAAGAGTGCCCCAAACATTTTCATCTGGCAGTACTGATAGATTTATAAGTGCAAAGTATACATAAAATATCTCTAATGAACATTGATAGAATCCAAGTGCTCTTACAAAGTTAAAAATTTACTTTACTGTAATTAAAATTTAAAGTTAACTAGTTTGACTGTAACTCATTTAACTCTAAAGGAGCACTTAAAGATTTTTATGTCATTACTATATCTGAAATTGTGTATTATCTATTATATAATATTCACACAAACAGAATATTTTGATATCATAGAGCTAATATGCTTCTGCAAGGGTTTGTTGTATTTTGCTCCTCGGAAAGATATGACATTGTTTATAAAGATTCTAAACTTTACATTACACTCAGATTAACTAGCAAACTGAACTATGCCTTTTAAAAAACTTCTCAAATAAACAGTAACAGCACTGGGTACATGTCAGTGTTGATACTTTCAGGTTTCTGGTACGTTATCTGTTACAAAATGCTTGAATAATGATCACAAAGAAATATTTAGAAATAATTAATAACTCTGTGGGTAATAACAATAGTGGAACTCATAAATTTAGAAGACAATATTATCCTTACATTAAGAAACAAAAAAGAAAAGAAAAAACCCTACATAAATCAAATTGATTTACGAAATACACTGCTTTTATAAACAAGGAAATTTATTTTTGCTATTCAGACCTATTGCATATTAAGACAAATACAATAAAGAACATTATTTTAAAATTTAATTTTTCTTATGTGATTAGTTCACATTGCATTATGTTTCAAGCATTTGCAGTCACAAGATCATTCTACATTTATTCTCAGTTTTCCTCAGTATTGTTTTCCTTAAGATAGTGGCATATAATCAAAAATGTATAGTATATGGAAAAAAAATGACCCATCAGACATTTCATATAACCTTCACTATTACTTCATTAATACCGAAATGTGACTATTTGTGGAAACACAAAATGGTGGAACACATTGCACATACGCACATAATTACAAAAAAATTAATGTCCACACAAATCAACAGCCCTTAAATTGCCTGTATTGCATCATCTCTAATAATTGTATTTTCTTGTCAATCCAATGTAGAATTGACGTTTGGGGTCATTTCCTTGGAATTTGAAATAGGTTAAAATAGATGTTAGTTTCACTTTGTACATAAGAAGCAAGGTATAAGAGCAAAAAGAACAACCTTCTAAACAGCAGGCTTGTATAACTCACAAATTAAAGAAAATATATATAAGAAACTTATTTTAAGGTGTTTTTCATGCTTTTCAAAAATGAGTTAATATAAAATATTTGCTTCACAAAAACAATTCTCAAACAAAAACAAAAACTGTACATGGGTACAAATACATAAATATATATTAAGCAAATGCTAAAACCTTGCCTAGGTTGTCATTAAATCTTCATTTATTAAAATAATACATATAATTATAAATTACATATTAAGAAGTAAACGTTATATGAAGAGTTTTTAAAAAAGGATGATTATTTTTTACTTTAAAATTAATTAGTAAATGTTCTTTTTATACCATTTGACCACATTCTCATTAAATTAAAAATTAGGCCATTATTTTTAATGATCACGATTGTCAAGTGTGCCCATAAATTCAAAAATAATGTTTGAGACATAAAGACAATTTTCAAAGATAGTGAATCAAGTCTATGTTGGTTCTTTTGTGAAAACAAGTGTAATTGAATAATAAATTAATATATATATATATGTAATTAAATTACTTGATAATGATGTAAAATCTACAAGAAAATAGTTATTAAAACAAAGTTTTGAATACTTGCTAGACTTAACCTACTTTTGGCTTACTTGACAACACTGGTAGAAAATTGGGCATGTTAAAACTAACAAAACACAGATGTTTTGTACAGAAAATAAGAATTAAAAAATAGTAACCTTGGAATGTCATCATATATGAGTCTAATAATGGGATACAATTTTCAATTGTGGAAAAAATTATAACATAAAAACTTAACAGCACTAATAATGGAATACAGTGTATTAAATGTGCTCTACAACTGTGATGTTAGTGGTGTTGAACAGCTTCTTGGATAGAAGAAAAGAGGTATAAAGGAATAACCACAATCATATTCTCCTTACTTTTACTTAGCAGCTTTGGGGTTGGGGACAGGTCACTGTGGAGACTCATCCTTACGTATACTATTGCAGAGGTGATGTTGTTAGAACTGAAACAATGTTTTGTGTATACCGGAGAAGGTTTTCTTCAATGGAAAGGTTAGGGTTTATCTGGCTACCTTTAACCAACTCCAATTTGATTTGCCCTTCTTAGAAGCAGGAATACGAAGCACTTCCTGGCCTTCCACCTTGATAATAATATTCCCGTGTTCATCTTCATAAAACCCTGAGTCTTTCTCTATGTTTTCACTTGGTTGTTCTGAATCTTTCTCTGTCTGCAATGAACCACTCATAAAAAAACCATGCACAAGGATGTAAATAAGACCAGTTCTCTAACCAAATGATTCTGGCAGGTGGCACAAAACAGTTTTTTTATCCATGGTTAACAATTGTTTTTTATATATTTATTTATTTATTTATTTATTTAATTAATTAATTATTTAATTAATTATGAATAAATTGAAACCCTAGGCAAGGTTATGTAGATGAATATATGACTTAAAACATACTTAACATTGCCTGGCTATGTACAACTAAGGAGTACAGTCGAACTAGAACATATATTAACACATATACTACAAAAAAGCTAGAAAAGAAATGAAATAAAGTGGTCCCAAGTAATCAGTTTAGTTTGAAGTGAGGAAAACAAGACAGCATAGACACTTTTACCTACAATCCAAAGAAAAGCAGTCAAGTACACTTTAGCAAGTGCATTACAAATACACTGGGCCATACAACAAGAAAACATGAAAACCCTGAAAATTCAAATGCATTATAAAGACATAAAATAACCTATATTGAAATGTAACTCATAAAAATTAAAACAACTAAAGAGAAAAGTGTAATTGAGTAAAAATATTATGTACTGCTCTTTATTCAAGATACAGTATCACAAGTGAAAAATTAGATTCATATTAAGCTACCTACATTTTAATTTCTAAACATCTATGAACTAAAACTTTCATGAATAAATCTTGCAATTAAAAATCAGTAATGGAATTAAATATTCATATAGTACTAATTACATACATTGTGAACAGTAATTAAAATTAGAAACTAATATGAAATGAATGTTTGTATTCCAAGAAGAAGAAAACTAAATTTTTTAATACTTACCCTCTCCACTTTCTTCAGTTGGGGAACTTGTTTTTCTGTTTCTTTTAGGTCTCCCCAATCAGGATCTTCCTTGTCTTTATCCCATTTTGCATATTTCCGTTTTTTCAACATAGCACGGAAATCCATACCACTAGCATCTTATAGAAAACAAATATTTGAAATTAAATGTAAATACAATTCAATTATGAAATTTTAATTAACTCAACATAATGAAGAGAGTAATAATGACTATATTTAATTGAAGCTAAGAACAAGTAAGGCGTATAATAGAATTGGGTAGTTATACATTATATACGATGTTAGGGTCATCATCTTACAGGAGGTCATTCCTTAATATGATTTTGTAGTTACACTATTCATTACAATAACGTGTAATGTCTAAAAGTTTTATTCCCCATAAAACACCCTGCTTTCACATTCAATGAAAAGTTATGAAACTGAATTTGATGCAATTAAACCAATAAAACTATGTAAAATTTATTCTCAAGAATTGTCAATCAAATTATCTATGGAAACAGTAATACATCATCACAGACCTATGTTATGAAGATGAAAGATAACAAAAATCATGAACTACAAAAGCTTAATTTAATATTTTCAGAATTTAAGCCTAAGGAATAATATTACTCACACACTGCAAAAGCATATTTGGTTTCCACATTTTAAAAGAATTACATAAATAAATTTAATTTCAACATTTGTATTCAATAAAAAATCTAGTTACAATAACTGTCAGATTATTATTGCTTTATAGTACTCAACAGAATTCTTGCTTCAATATTGTATTTACTTGGATATAATTATTTAAAGGAATTATATATTTAAATTTGTTAAAAAAATTGTCACCCCAAGCAACTGGTCAAGAAATTGTATACTATATATAAACAAATATGCAATTGCAGAGAGTTCAATCAATATAATGCAACTTTAATTTTTCTCTCTAATGTCAAAACAAACTAGGAAGTTTGGGGGGGAAAAGGTTAGGAATAGAAAATATTGACTGCAGTTACAAGCCTTAACTTTCAGAACATACTGGTTACCCAATTTGGGAGTATTAAGCATTTATATATCATTTTGCAATGTTAAGATTAATATAAAATTGATTTTACAATATATCTACTTCCCATTGTTAAAGAAGATTCTGTGTAAAGTAAACAAAACATTTATAAGGCTGATTATACCCCTGAAAGTCCTTTCCTCTTTCTCGCACAATACTACTAAAAGTGTCCCCACATGCTGGCACGTTTGATACAAGAAAACAAGACAATTAAAAAATGTTTGAAAATAATAACCACAATGTAACTTCAATAACATTTGAAAGCTTCAAAACTTTATCTTACCTGATACAAAAAGTTGCATCTCAGCAGAGTCTTCACCATGAATGTTGCTAACCACAATTTTGTATTTTCCTTCATCATTGGGCTTGACCTTTCTTATGCAAAGAGTTATGGAGTTTGTTTCTCCATCAGTAACAAATTTAAATCTACCTCCTTCCATTTGAAGAAGTTCTGTCATGCCCTAAACAATTAACATTTTCACTGAAAATAGCTTTCCATTCAACAGAGAATGTTATAAGCAATTTAAACATTCTGATAGCAATAAAAACAAAATTTAATACCTTACTTTTTCAAAAGAACTTACCTTATAAAATTTAAATGAAGGAGCTGGATTGCCCTCAACACCTACAGTTATATAACCAGTTGAATCTGTAATGCAGAATAACATTGTGAAATATTCAAACTTTTAAAGAAAATCATAATATTATATAGTAATTCGAATTGTTTAATTTTCCAACAAATTATTTTTATAACAAGACTTACTTCTTATTTGAAAGGTTGTTTTTGTCAGAAAAAAAAAGAAAGAAAATAGAAAGTTAACTTATATTACATTTAATTACGAATTGAATATAAAATAACACTTAGGTGGGAAATGCAACTTGTTATAACACAAAAATATTAATATACTAGGTAAACTGTCAAAAACCAATAATCCATTCATAAAAGAAATTCACTGATTGTTCAGTTCAAGATAATGCCAGTTAAAAAGCTCATTTAATGAGACCTGCACCATTTCTTAAACTACCCTTTCTTCTATAAAAGAAAAATAATTAACCTAAAAATGTATGCTACTTTAAAACAAAAATTGAAAAATGTTAAGGCTTCATATAAATCAAAACATGCATATAAAAAACTAATACAGAAAATATGTGCCATTTTGTAGCACCACTAGTTTCTAAATGTTTTAGAAAAAATAATGTACTATTTATTTATCTGCTTTTTTGATAACAGGTCCCAGAATACCAGTTTTTCTGACCAAAAATTGCCATATTCTACTGCAGTATTATATTACTTTCTCTTTATGTAAGTATGTAGAAGGCAAGAAAGAAAAAAAAAAAAGAGAACAAAAGTAACAAATTTAAAACAATGAAATAAAAATTTAAGTTGAAAGTTAATGTACCTTCAACAGCTGAATAGTTTTCAGCGACATCAATGATAGATGGTGGGCCACCGTCACCTTTTGGTTGTAAAGGAGTGGAAGGTTTGTTGATCATCTCGCCCAATTCCTGAACACTGGGGCGGCGCATATCTGCACTGGGACGCCGACGCTAAGAATACAAGCATATGTCAGCACAACACATTCTCTCATTTCCATATTTAACTATATTCCACAGAAAACTATCTATTAATGACTGTCATTACAATTAATCTTAATAGTTCAATATAATTTTCAAAAGTATACCTACCATTGAAAGTCCAAAAGTATTTAAATGAATTTACATGTTCAAGGACAGTTGTCCATATGTACATTGCAATTGGTAATTACATAACACAAAACATAGAGTACACATACATAAAACATTTAACAAACAACACCAAAATCGTAACACAGGGAACACAGAAAATCTGAAAACAGAGGAGGATCTGGGTAATTAGTTAAATGTATCATTTGAAAATAAAACACACTTAAATGCAAAAAAAATAACATAAAGATAATTTAAAATAATATAAAGATTGACATTAAGAAAAATAAAGAATGAAATGAAAAGAAAGAACAGAAAAACAAATCAATAAAATAATAATAATAATAAATGAAACTGAAAGAATAAACAGGATGGAAAAGATCAGAAAACCCACAATCAAATTAATGTAAATGAGAACTTGTAAGCAATTGTCACAAACTGAGGGGCCAGGAATGCACGAGAGGCAGGGTGATACAGTGGAGCCACAGGGCTGCCAGCCCTGCAACAATCCCTGCCATAGTATGCAGTCATGCAGACACGCCAGAAGAGATAATATCTGAAAAGCAGTCATTGCGGTTGTCAACAGAAAGAATATTCGCTGCTCAGAGAGAAAAAAAAACAACCTTAAATGCACCCACAATGTTTATCATCCGAAATCTAGTCATTGTAGCGTCTGAATTTTACTCACACAAGAAAAGTATTTACATACACAATCCATGCAACAGAGATGTTTCTGTGAACATTATATTTACAAGAAATAATGAAGATGTGGTACACAACATGAAACCTGTTTCAATTCACAATATTCTGTATTTTATTTCTTGTTTCCTACATTATGTTGTTTCATGTCATTAATTGTAAGTTGTATTCTTTGTGATTTGATGTACATGGAGAAGAGTATCTTCCACATTATAACACAAGCACGCATTGCTAAGTCTATACAAGAACTTTAAAAGGATCATACTAACAACTTATGTTTGCTACAGGCTAACCCTCATGTTGCCACAGTTTGGGAGGGAATCATGCAAGGTTTTAGCAAAGAAATGAAAGCAACAATTAAGCAGAAAATATGGAAATAAAGGAAAAGGTAATACATATATAGTGGTTAAAAACCTGATTAACTTTATAAGTTTTAGATATGTTGCAAAAAGTTCTTTCGATGAAAATGAGATTGGTGGAACTCATGAGAAGGTCATGTATTTTTAAATACTGAATAGCTATTTTTGAAATAATAATTAGAGTAACTCTTTCATTCGAGAAACAAGTTGATAAATTGAAGAAAAAAACAACAACAATTTAATTTTGCTTATAAGCAATTAAATGTCATGAATGTATAGTGGGAATATTTAAAACAATTTAATTTTAATTCTTCTCAGCAGTTAGTCTAATTTTTTTTTATCAAGTAACTCAAGTGACAAGAAAAAAATTATATATTCTTAATTATTAAGAAGCATGAATGGAAAACTATTGAATAGGGAGAAAAAATCATAGTTTTTATGAAAGAAAACATCACCATTTTTTAAAATTAAAAAATCTGTTTTTTTATTTAAATAATGTTTGTATGAATGAAGTACTTTTAGATGTATTTTTTTTTAATTGACCAAATAAAAAGTAGTTTTAAAAATTTTTAAGTAAATAAAAAATTTCAATGAAAATTATTAAAAATATTTGAGCAATAGTGATATAATACAATAAACAGGTACTTTATGAGATGTAGATATTCCTTACAAGTGATAAAGGGGCAACCTGGGCGTGTGAGGCATATCTTTTTTGAGTAGATAAAATATTGCCTCACAGTCCTTGAGTTGACACTGTAGTTAAAATATTAGAGAGTGCAATTAATATGCCATTCAGTAAACAAGTTAATCAACAATATTTTAAACTTTTATACTTTGTTTTGTCTTGTTATAAATTATAATATCAATAGCTATTTAATTTTTCAATGTTCAATAAATATAATTATTACTGAGCACTTTTGTAATTAATTAATAAGAGCGCTTTATTAATGAAAATTATGTCAGGCTATAAAATAATGTATAATTTGGGAAAAATAGAAAGAAAAGCTTTGTTTATTTAAATCAGTTGTTAATGATTTGATTTAAATCATCCAATATATTTAAATCAATTGATTTTAATTTTTACTACCCAATTATTTTATAAATGACATTCAATATAACATAAAATAAATCGCCATAAGGATAACTAAAAACAAAAAATTAATGCAAAAAAAAATCATATGGTATTTTGCAGGAAAAACATAAAAATCATACAATACATACAAAAATCAGTATGTTAAGTTGGAAAACAAAAGGGAAAAAATATAGAACATATAGCACAATAAATAACACAAGAATACAATATTTACAACTGAAATGCACAACAATAGGAAGAGTGGCACAGAGTAAGTGGCAACAGAGAGAAGCAGAATTAATTTAGGCCCACCAAGCCCCTGGAACTGAACGACAATGGCTAACCTGCTTCTCCGGCGCCTCCAGCTGACCAGGGCGAGACCCTTTCCTCTGTTATGTTGCACAAAAAGAAAATAAAAAGCAATTTAAATGAAAGAATAACTTGAATAAAAATGAAAGAAACTAAAATAATTAAATATAACAAAATAAAACTGGCTGCAAATTGATGTGGTAATAGTGTTTCATGAAGGGAGAATTCATGAAGCACTTTAACACCACAGACAATCCACAGATAAAGTAAAGCAATAAGTAATACAAAATAACTGGAAATAAATAATTGTAAATAAACAAATATATTTATAAACAAAAGAACACACAAAATAAATCAGTAAATAAACAAATAAATAAATATAAGCAAATATACAGGCAGAAATAAATGAAACAAGAATAATAAAGGCAGAAAAAATACCTCAAAATGCAATATCATTATACGCACCTGCAAAACGCTTATCAAATGATACTGTATTTTATAGTATTATTTCAGCCAATAAACAAAATTATGAAATAAAAAGAACATAAATTAAAAATATGTGGGCGAGGGTTCTGTCCTCAGTTTATGTTATCTGGATTGTTGACCTGTCAGTATTTAGAGAACTGAAGACATGCTAGTAAGAAAGAAATAATTAATTAAAATCAAACAAAATAATATAAATAAAATAAATAAATAATATGTACCTAATGATTGAACAGCCAGGCATTGGTTATGAACAAATCTGATGTTTCCAGGTTTATTTGCCTTTTGCAGATGAGAAGGAAGTAATTATGACCCTCAGGTGAATGAAATGGAGTTGCATTTTTGCTGGAGGCGCACAATTAACTTAAATGTAAGTGATCCTCACTTTTTTTGAATCTCTAACAAATTTTCTATTTTCTACTTTAAGTACAATAAGCACTGCTTTTCTATTCAGATATTGGAATTGAGAATAAGAAGGACCTTGAACCTGAATAACCTTGAACACCTGAACACCCTTCAGTTATATTTATTCAAAATAAAAGCATCTTGAACTGACACCAATAAACAACTGTGTAAGACAAATTGCTTTGTAAACAATTTTCTATACGACTTCCTACATTTCCAGAGGACAGCTCCACTATTATCTCTGTTTATGACCATGTTTCACTAACTATTCAATTAATATCAGAACTTAGGCTATACTAGTGTATGGATTAGCAACAACCTATGAATAAATATTGCTTGGGAGAATTTTAGTCATTCTGCAAATCACTTTCTAAATTATTTGAAATACCGGAGAGCCCTCAATGCAGAGCTTTTTGTAGTAGAATACATTTTATTTTTAGTGATGAGTTTATTTAATGCCATTTCTAATATCTCTTACGATGTTGTAACAAAATTAATTTTGATTATCATGAGAAGCGATTTTTTTCTCCTGTGTGAAAATATTGGTGCTTATCCTTTATTGCGCCTCACGTGAAGGAATCGACTCACGACTGCGAAAATATGAACGACAATGCTAACGAAGTGGTGTCTAATAACCAATTACAACGGTGTAAGATAATCTCTTACGCCGTAATTAATCTTTTCAGGGCCTAGTGACGCTTCGTTACGTACATCTAAGTTGACAACAGGGATCCAGCGTCCAGTAACGCTTTTATGGCAAAGGAGGCCTACCCAGTAAAATAAACTCACTATGCAAATAAAATTAAAATATTTTTGCACAACAGAAAGACAACTGTTCTCGAGCCATTTGTCAGTCTCACTGCTTTCCTGTCTCTTGCTATTCGAACTTCGCAACAAATTCATCACACCCAAACAATATTCATTGCATTGTTTTTCTCACACTTTCTTCCTTTCTGCACATTATTGTGTTCTTAAAGAAATTTCAACCCAGTCGTTTCACTAGAATAAACTTCACACAAGGGCACGAAATTTACAGAGGCCACTATCACGAAATTAAACACGAAGTTCAACAATAAACATTCAAACAACAGAATGAATGCCCTCATTCCCGCGGGTTCCCTTTATCGTTCTTGGCTTTCGTTCTCCGATCGCGCGGCGTCGGAAATCGATTCGTGAATGGGCATAGTCATGATGGAAATAATTATTGCCCCCATGGGCATTGTATTAGTAATATTTGTATCTGGGCATAAAATGCGCTTGACAGGCTCAAGGATGTTCGTAAGTATAGAGGATACTTAGAAATTACACTGTAATCCCAAAAAATCTCGTAACTTTTCACGGAGTGGATAAATCCTATTAAGCATAAAATTAAAGTGGTACATTAAATTGCTTTCCAATATATTCATTATTGTATTCGTAATTTGGGATTATTAAAAAAACATAAATATTAAACTTATATTTTCTCGTATTTTAAACTAGTGATGCAACAACAGCACGTTCTTTCTTGCATTTTTAGTAACGGTAAAGTAATAAAATACTACTACTACTATAGTTTAATACTACTTGAACATATAAGCCTATTTGTGTAATTGTTGATAAATTAAAAGGTTACGTACATCAAAATAACGGCTGTCTTGTTATTCAATGCACTTAGCGTTATCCATTCAAATAGTTGAGAG